CAGCAAGGCCCGAGGAAGAAGACGAGATGCTGAAATTCAGATTGTAGTTGTTAGGGTCGTCATGCTGCTGCTGGTGGTTGTGGTCGGCTACGAAGGAGAATTGTTGGCTGAACAAGGGGGAAGACGCCGGAGGGGTCATCATAGGGTTTCCCAGGTGGATTTGATGGGCCGGATAGTCGCCGGAGGGTGAACGAACAGCAGAACGGGTTAATAGCCCATTGGTGACATAATCAACGGAAAAGAAATCGGATTCGCCTTTCACGTTATTTCCGCCGGCGCCGCCGCTGGTCAACAGCTCCGTAAAGCTTGTATTTTGGGAAAGGGGGTTTGCATTTTCTTTGCTCTTCTCCTTTCCTGCAGCTCTCTCCCGAGCTCGTTCCAAGGCCAGGACGCGATACTCCGACCGGGAAAGAGAAAGCCCACCGGTGCCTTTACTGGTGTCGGACGGGCTACTGTGCTGCTGTTCTCCTCCTCCTCCTCCGCCGCCTCTAGGCCTTCTCTCGTCGGTTAGCTGCAGCGTATCAGGAAAAGAAGCGTTCAAAGAAGGAAGCTCGTCGATGAACGGAGCTGCCGCCTTCAACAGCCACTCCACCGCCTTACTGGGCTGGTCGTAGCCGAGGCGGTCCTGCAAATCGTAGAACTGGACAGCAGTGTTGACGGAGAGGCGGACGCGGCGGTCTCTTAGGCCCTTAGAAGTCCACACCTTGCTGTGCCTGTCTTTCCCCCCAGAAGCTCGAGAAACCCGGACAATCCGCGACGCCGGCCAGCCGTAAAGCCTCCCGAGGCCGCCGCCGTCCCCATTACTCCTCTTGATATCTCCGTCATCGCCATTTCCGATTCTTGGGTTTTCAACCTCCATCCCAATTTCATTCCTTTCTCCACCCAATAGGGTTTCGAGGGTGAGAGAAAGAAAGGGTGCAGCTTCTCTTTCTATAATCTTCGCTATGGAGATTCAAAATCGGAATTAGGGTTTAAACAGAACGGAGAGGATGCAAACAAAATGAGAAAAGGATGGATGAAAGTGGGGTACGGCAAATTGTGGGGATTCATTGTCCTTTGCGTTGATATGATGACACACTAATCTTAGCTCTTACACACATACATAGGGCCGTAGTTAAACAGACAAGTATATGGTAACATGGAGAATCACTTTGGCTTTAGCTCACTTACAATTACTCCACTGCCATTAGCTCACTTACAATTACTCCACTGCCAACCAAATTATGCAGACCCGACCCGAATTCTATGATGGTTTTTAGAATTAATTAAAATAGCAGCTTGTCATAATTTGAGTCTTCAATTATGACCTAAGAGAGACCTAAAACAATATTAGAATAAGAATATTTTCAAGTCTTTTAATGTTGTACAATAATGTAGGAGATTTATTGAAAATAAAAATAAAGCTCAATTGTTAATTTACATGGTCCTTAAATCATTTTATAAACAATTGGTATGATTTATTAAAATGATGTTATTTAGATATAATGATTATTATATATATTATGAGAACACGTTTGTGCACGTGTGGTCACATAATAATTATAATAACATTACTTAAATATGTTTAGTCATATGTGCCGATTTTAAATATTAGAGTTTGGATTTTAAAGAATTTTCTTGTGGCGGTTTTTATGGAAAAGGGCAAGAATTTGTATTATATTAAAAAGTTTTTAAAAGGATGACATGTCCTTTTATTATGGGAAAGTTCCTGAAATGGGACCAAAAACGTTTGTAAATTCCAAAATAGGACTGTCATGTTTTTATTCCCAAAATAGGAGTAATTACTGTCAAGTTTGGAAAATACTATCATGATTAAAGTCTGGTACTGTCAAAACATGACAGTAATTAGTCCCATTTTGGGAATTAAAAACATGGCAGTCCCATTTTAGAATTTACAAACATTTTTAGTCCTATTTAGGGTAAATTCTTTTTTATTTATGATGCACCGTTTCTCACTTTGAAAGGCTCAATGGCCATTTAAAGAGTCGCATCCAGTTAAACTAGAAACAGGATCATTTGGAAGAGTCACTTTTTACATATAAATAAGCAAGGATCATGTCTATTTTATTATCTGTAGTAATAAAATAGAAGTACTTAGACCACTTTATATTCAAATCACTTGTTCAGTGTTATTTTATCGGTAACTAAAATACACCATACACCTTCTTTTTATCCCAACAGTTCTATCATTTATCTCGGTTACTGTGATAAAGTTATATAGTAAACTTTTAGGAAAGCGTATTTTATACGCGGCTAGAAGCTGATCTAGTCAACCTATTCAACCATAATTATTCACCCTTATATTTTACCAACTTTATCCTCTGTTTCTAACAAACTAAAAGTTTACTATCCCGAAAATATGGCCGCCACTCAACGCGATATCATCAGCACCAATTTTAAAAAATTGGAAAAGTTTGAAGGTGTGAAATTTCGAAGGTGGCAGAAAAAGATGCATTTTCTGCTTGCTACTTTGAAGGTTGTCTATGTGTTAAGCACCCCGAGGCCGCCCGAGGATGATAATAACGAGAGTTTGGAAATAAGTCGCCGCTGCATAAGGTGGGACAATGATGATTATATCTGCCGTGAACATATTTTGAATGGTATGTGCGATTCTCTTTTTGATGTGTTTCAAAATGTTGAATATGCTAAAACGTTGTGGGAATCCTTAAAATCTAAGTACATGACCAAGGATGCTTCGAGTAAGAAATTTCTCATTAGTAACTTTAATAGTTACAAAATGGTGGATTCTCGCCCGGTCAGAACAATTTTATGAAATTCAACGTTTATATGATCAACATTCGATACACAACATGCATGTAAATGAAACCTTTGCAGTCGGTTCTATAATTGACAAATTACCACTGTCATGGAATGAAGTGAGAAATAGTCTCAAACGTAAAAAGGAAGATTTGTCAATGGAGCAACTGGGTCGCCGACTTCAAATTGAAGAAGGCATTAAGTTGCGTGAATGTGACAATGGTAAAAAGAACGACCTTCCAATTTCCTCTATAAATGTTATGGAGGAGGGACAATGAAGTGAGACTAATAAAAATAAAAAAACATTTCAGGAAATTCACCAAAGGTTCCAAGTTTCAAAAGAAACTGAAAGATAAGAATGTAGGCTCTTATTGGGATTGTGGTGGTCCACACTTCAAGAGGGAGTGCCCGAAGGTGAAGAAGAAGGTCCAATCGAACGGCCATCCTAACGGTGGCCTAGACAACCAAGGCCCAGTAGAAGTACTTAGACCACCTTATATACAAATCACTTGTTCGGTATTACTTTATCAGTAACTAAAATACACCATACACCTTCTTTTTATCCCAAAAGTTATATCTTGTAATCCGGTTACTGTGATAAGGGTAGATAGTAAACTTTTAGGATAGCGTATTTTATACGTGACTAGAAGTGATATCCGGTTTAGCCATAATTATTCACCCTTATATTTTACCAACTTTATCCTTCGGTTCTAACAAATAAAAGGGGTTTATGCCCTATTATTAAATAGAAGTGGACATGCCCATTAGAAAAAGAATAAATAGGGGTGAACCGTGAGTAGAAGGAGAGGCAGAATTTTGGGATCGAGATTGGGATTTTGGGAGTGTGAGAGCACTCGAAGAGTCTCAAATTTCTTCTCTCGTTATTGACTGTTCTCCGTCATTAAATCTTCATGAATATACTACAAGTTTCTATTGTGATTGTTAAATTATCTATCATTGGTATCAAAGAAAGCTTACGATCATTGCACCTGTGTATGGTCCTCACTCGATTGAACATGGAGCATCGGATAAATAATCTGGAAAAATCGTTGGAGCGATCAATGGCAGAGATGCGAACAGAAATGCGAGCGCCGATGGTCGGAACTCGGAAGGATGTAGGCACTGTTGGAAAAAATGAAAAACCTCAAAGTTCAAGGCATGTGATCCTTTTTACAAGACAGAGAGATTACATAATTTAAAATACTTTTAGCATTCACGTAGATACAATTAACATTCTAAAATTCTATAGTGAAATAAATAATATTACCCCCAATTTGTATAATTGTAACACTTATTTGATATTATAACTTTCACTTTCTTTTATGAAGAAAAAACAATTTTATTAAAGAAAAAGAAGGTAAAGTACAATCAAAAAGAAAAAAATGCAAAATAGAAGAGAACAAAATAAAACCAAACAACCCGAATTGCAACAATAAAACCTTCCCCATGGATCATAAAAGCTCAATCGAGAATCTCCATACGTGATTTTGTATATCTTGTATATCATAAAAGCTCAATCGACCTCTGATGTTTTTTCTTGTATATCTTGATTTGAGTGTTTAAGTTCGTTGTAGGCAAGCAATTGTCCTCGTGACCAGTCTAGCTTTATTACAAATGTCCTAATTGGTGTCAGAGTCCCATAGACCCTCTTTCGAAGAAATAAGAGTCCTCTTCTCACTCTATAAAGCATGACCAATGAAATCATCTCTTGAGTAATGCGCTATCTGCTCAGCAAAGACACCCTCACTTCTTTACCCATTTTCTCATCTAGAGTCTTTAGTACCCAAAGCAGATGAAAGAATTCTTTCAAATTCTTTGATTAAAAATTGAGACAATGAGTCCACCCTATTAAACATTTTTTGTAAAATTTATTGAGCAATGAAACATTGAACATTTTAAGTCAAATTCGAGCCCCATGGTTTGAGCTCTATGAGCTTCAAGCTCTTACTCAAACACAAGTTTTACAGGTTCGAGCCCAAGTTTTACAGGCTCGAACTTTAAGCTCAACATGTTCACTCAGCTCGGCTCACGTTGGTGACACTGTGACACCCTAGGAACCACCAAGCCAATGGCTACATGGCGTGCTGGCTGTTTCACTATGTCTAATGACAGACTCATAGATTCTCATTGACACTACTCCTATACTCCTATCTCTGGTTTCATTTATAAAAAAAACTAATGTATTACAGTGTATTATCCAATTGTTTTGGGAAAGATAAGATAAGACTCGTGAGACTGGAGGGTAGAGGAAAAAACTGTCCAGCATATTTATCAGAGCCTAAGAAGTGGGTATCTTGAGTCTTGACACCTCCTTTCTCCTAACACATTAGTACATCAGATATTTCAGATTCACAGCGTGTTTAGACATAACTAAACGTAGTGTGGTTTTCCTTTCAACATTGTCTACTACTATACGTTAAAAAATCACAATGGAAAGAGCCATGTAGGCTAATAGTTTAAAACTATCAACTTTTACATAAACAGGAGGCTCATGCCAAATCTTTCCTAATTTTCAATTGACTGATTGACTCCGTCGAGTAAACTGGGTGCTTAACGTGCTTTCTTTAATCTCTTTGGGGGTCTTGACAGCTCTTTCCTTGGATCCTCGGGAGTTTTTATGTCAACTTGTGGCTGCAAAATTTTATAAGCTCATGTTCATTGACAAAATAACAAAAAGTGTATGAAGAAGATTAGAGAACAGTTGGTTTAGACGTCCCAAAATACATAATGTGGCAAATGACGGCTCAGGTGTATATATCATACATACACTCTTATAGTCCTATTTAGAGTCACTTTGGTAACTCTTATATTATGTCTAACAACCTTATCACACAAGGTATTTACCAAACTAGTAGAGTTCATTTGGTAACCCCTATTTTCAACTTGTTAGCATTATCAACCAACTTTTTTACCAAACAAGTAACTTTTGATTTCGCATGCTAAATTGTGTGATCATCAAAACAAGTAAGGTGAGAATTAATTTTTTGGTTGAATTGTTTGAAGTTATTGGAGAGGATTAATTTAGCTATTTTCATGTAATTTTTCTTTATTTTATTAATAAAAATATATTATAGATATAATTTTTCCATAATTCGGAAAGAAATTCATCATTTTGAGCATATGCAACCGATTCGTCATTTTTAGTATTACAAACAGGCTCATAACTTTTGATTGAATGTGCTGAATTGTGTAATAATCACAATAAGTAAGGTTGAAGTTACTTTTTTGAGGAATAAAATTACTGTATAAGACAATTTTAGCTATTTTTCATATGATTTTTCTTTATTAATTAAATATATTTTTTCATTATTTAGTAGATTCATCCAATTCAGCGACTTGAGCCAAAACTTCATCAATTTTAATAGAGTCAGCCAAATCAATGCATGAGTTGTTGAATAGTGAGTGATGCAAGAGTAGGGCAAAAATACATGTCCAACAAAAACAAACATATACTTCTGCAAGAACAAAAAAATAAAAAGATGATTGGAGGTAAGGATTTTTCAAAGCTATTAAGGCTTTTGAAGTTTCGAATGTCAAACTTGATAGGAGAAGTAACGAAAGTTTTTTTGGCTCTTCTGTAATCCCCTAACTTACTACCTCTAACTAGCATGATGAGTTATGCAGTCCAAACATCATGAACTTTCTAATATGTGAGTTTTAGCATAAAATTTCACAGGTAGTATTCACACATTTCTATACAATGATTTAAGTATGTATTGCATTATGTGGCACAATTAAATCAACACTAAGCTGCTATGCATACAGATGTTATGTAGAATAAAAATTTCTTACATGATACAAAGTACAAAACAACTAACAATATTTGGGGGGGAATAGAAGAACCAATTATAATATAGCCCACATATTTGCTTCATTTTAAAGAAAGAATGAGCCTAAACTTGTATTACTACCTACATTTACAGATGAATATGAAATACTACAAACGTAAATCAGAGTGGGTACAAATTCTCATATTAAAGAAAGACTTCCGGTGACTCAGAAGATTACTCTTGTTTAATTATCATTATTAGTCATTAGGGCAATGGGCAATAACCAACTTATTGTTCCTCTCTTCCTCAAGGACCTTAACCGGCATAGAAATGGATTGAAGACCAGAACTAGAGTATATATACACTCCTAAAGATGTCATGGACTTATGGTAACATCGTATTCAGGTATGTACAAATAAAAATTGAAAAAAGAAATCATAGAACATTATATCTACTACGTAGTACATAAATTCATTATCTTTACCTGTAAAATGGGACAAGATTTGATCTATAGTAAGAAAAAGCCAAGCACAACTGTACTAACAACTATGTACCTCATGGACCAGATAAAAGCTAATTGGACAAAAAAGAATTAGCTAATGAATATGTGAAAGGACATAAAAATGATGTCCAGATTTCTTACCTCTTCTAGTTTTCTTTGAAGTTCCAAAAGCTGTTGACAATATGAAAGGCACTCGGCATGGTATACAGCAGCCAAATCTTTGATCAAAGCCTTCCTTTTGATGATGCCAATCACTAAAATGCAATCAAGAGAAAGTGTATGCATATTAAATTCGATTAAATACTCAAATCGAAAATCTCAAGCAGTGAAATAGTGAATCGTGGATACAGACAAAGGGAAAATTACTTCGGCTAGGATCAAATTGGGGAGGAGGGGTTGCATCTTGTGGGATCTGAGCAGGGGCTTCGTCAGAGGTCGACGGTGGCGGAGGGTGAGAATCGTCAGTGGACGCCACCGTCTGAGGCTGAGGCGGGAAAGAGGCGGGGTTATTGAGGTCACTCATACTGCAAACGGCCGTCTCTGATCTCCGCGTTTGGGATTTCGTTGGGGTTTGATGTCTAAATGTTTTCAATTTCACGGCCCTGCTATTACACCAATTTCGTCATCTTCTTCCCCTTCCCCTATGGACTACGGTATTGAAGCCTAACCGCGGTTCAGATTCAAGCTGGTGGATCATCATTGAATATATGCAAGTGTTTCCTATGCTATTTTCCGGGTTTGGTCTTACAACTTACAAGGTGTCAAGGTTTGTTAAAATCTCCCGTGTGCTCCACTCTCTATACTTAGACTTTTGTCAGTTTATTCGCGTATAATACACTCGAACCTATAAATCACGTATAATACACATGTTTATGAGTTTTTTAATTTTTTTTTGAAAAATTCACGTACTTTAAGGTTAAAATGTATAATACACGTACCGTACGTATTGATACATATTTTATTACGTATAATACTCCTGTTTACGAATTTTTTAGAAAATTCTCTGAAAAACTCACATACTTTAAGGATAAAATGTATAATACACGTACTGTATGTATTGATACATATTTTATTAAAAACACACACCATTAAACGAAGCCTAATGAAGTGATACAATTGAAACAAAATGCATGTCAATCTACTCAATATTATTTATATTGCTTAAAAAACGTTATGTCTTATATGTTTCGCTAATTGTTTAATGGTCATTACATTTAATGAATTAGCTTCTTAAATTCGTAATATGTTTCGATATTTCTATTGTACTACTACTGTATTACTTTTGTTCTCCACACATACCAAGACTCCAAAGAGATCAACAAATGTTGTGGCGGCTCACTAAACTCACGGTCAAAGTAGTATCAACTATTTTCTAGTAATATCTCTCCACTTCTACTTAAATAGGCAATGTCATTTTTATTACGTATCGTACCTATGCATTTAAATCCGTAAATCTGGCAAAAAAAAATATTCCATACATTTTAAATTGTTGAAAATTGTGGTGCAAATGTTAAATAACTCTTTATTTCTATCATTAAATAAGTATGTAAGACACATATTATATGCCGTATTTTTAAATTGTGAAACGTTTAAAACGTGTCCGTATCTTTATATATTTCACGAACGTATGAAACATATATTAAGCCGTATTTTATATAATTGTATCGTATTATACACGAACGTACGTATTATTGTATTATTCACGTACCGTATATTACTAACAAAGATGTCCTTGGTCATGCACGAACAATTGAACAAATACAAATGTTTAAAAAAAGAAATATGATCAAGAATAATGTCAACCGAGTCAAATATTAGGGATCGAAATAATTCAAAATATCAACTATTTTAGAATATTTACCCAAAAAAAACTATTTTAGAATAATTTCAATCATTGAAAAAATCTCAAAATACTTTAGGTACAATAAAAATCCCAAAAAAACTCCCAACTATTTACGTATTGTTTATTACTTCGTATATCTGCAGTATTCAATGGTTGAGATTATTTTCACATAATTAATACTTTATATTATTTCAAGCATCTCACTCAGGTTTTTACACATCTCTTTTACAGTTTACAAACATCGTTAGCAATTATTATTTTTTGTCTATGAAAAGTTTGTAAAGTAATTATCTAGCTTTTGTTAAAGGTGTCCCTCGATCATAAATATGTTGAAGACCATTAAAATTGTTAATGGATGAACATTTTTGTCTTTTTATACAATGTTGGTGATGGAGTATATGCCCTGGGGACCCCCGGCCCACAGACTCCTACTACTTCAACACAGGCCCAACAGGCCTAAGAAGCACAAGAGGCCCAAAGCACAGCGCCCCAAGTGTCAAGAAGCCCACGGTGCACATACGGGTGCCTTCGGCCCCATGGCCGAGGGTTCCAAATCTCATAGGACAGCCAGATTTGAGCATACAGAGCCACTGGGAGACAATGGCAGAATTCGGGAGCCTTCGGCATCTTCGTGCCCTCGGCATAAGGGTAGCCTTCGGCTACACCAAGCCTTTGGCCACAGGGGGCCTTCGGCTACAACGCAATCATCGAAGATTCCCTTTGGAGACAAGCAACCACCGCATTTAATGCGGCGTCACGTCCACCCACCGCATTTAATGCGGCGCACATGCGAATTCCGGTGCCACCCCGATTGAGGTGACCCCTCGGCCGTTAGATTGTTGACACGTGAACTCTCGTCGCATTTATGGCTGCTATAAATAGCCGCCCTTATTCTCCTTGTAAAACACGCTGAGTTCATTTAATACATTTGACTCTCTCTCTCCTACTTGTTTGCTCTGACTTCTCTCTAGGTTATTCCTCAAATAGCCCCTCAGATAAGCTACTCCCCCGGGTACACTGTTCACCAGTTGGGATGCAAACACAAAGAATTTCAAAAGAGAGGTGCAGAGTTCAATTTGAACAATAAAATGAGGTATAAACTCAAGTTTTCCCCTTTTTTAAGCATTGATTATGTAAAATAAAACAAATGTGGAGCAAGATGTAGTCATTTTAGTAGTTTTTTGTATACACCCATTTTTAGGGAGAATTTGACTCTGCACATCACTTTTTGGATAATATCAGTATTAGACTTTGCACCCTGTTTCACTTAAAAAATGCTTTGAGTTTGCACTCCACAGAATTTTTCATTCACAAAATCTTATATAACAGGATGTAAAATCAAAGTTCTTTTGAAAATTGAATGCAAAGTTCACGTCACCCAAAAATTGGGATTCCAAATCAAGTTCCCCTTAAAAAAGTTGCATCTTTTTTACGAATTGCTTAAAAAAATGCTGCTTTTTCTAGTATTTTTTGGTCTCATCTGACAATGATCTCTATCTAATTTACAATTGTCTAGATGTGATCTAATTGATCAAGCCTAATTAATAGTAGTAAAAAAAAGAGAATAAATACATAAAGCCTAAGTTTAGAATCGTTAATTCGTTATCTACCCTCCCGTTTTTCCTTCAAGGCAACCGCGAGATGAGTATTACATCCACTGAAGGCCGCCGCCCGTCCACGCGGCTAGATTTTTTCTTGTGAAAGGATCCTCCTCCCTCCGCCGTGGCAGAACTGCATTTTCTAAATCAATTTCATTCATGCATGTCGGTTTGATCCTATCATCACCACTCAAAGTCTTCTCCGTCTCTACGTCACTCCTCAACCCGGCTCAATCTGACGCAACCGCCGCTTAATCGCTCCTTCTCCATCTCAGACATAGTATAGTATACTGTATACATCACCAGCGGAGCACTTGAGGCCAAGAAGAAGAAGAAGAAGAAAGCGAAGAGGCGATGTTACTCTCCAGAGAATTATCTCGAAGCGGCGGGTTCAGTAGATTTAGAAGGATATTATGCTTTCCCATGGATCAGCTCTATCACCGGCACCACTTGGGTTCAAGCACAGACTACTTATCCCCAGTAGATGTTTCCCGAAAGGTCGGAGGAGCTTGTTTTTTTTCCCACTTTTTTCACTTTCAAGTTTTTACTCTATTACAACTGCTCTAGCTATTCATCTCAGAGGCCAAGCGTGCTTTAATTTCAAAAGAAGTAATCTTGGCTGCCTTTCTGGTCTGCATCTAGGGTAGCGACTTTTTTCTTTCTTTCTACCGTGGACTGTTGCTGCAATAATAATACGGAGTAGTATTACTGTATTGGCATATTCTGGTAGTCCTGGGAGTTTTGTTGAACTGTTTCTATGCCAAGGATTTGTTTGACTTTTGAACTTTTGGTAAATAAATCTAATGTTATGTGCGGTCTGTTTAACTAGAGACGCTCAGAAGTGGCGCAATAGTACTCTTAGGTCTCAGTGAGAGAATATTTGCCCTAATTTTTAACAGCGCTGGCCAGGTAGGCTGAAAAAATCTTTGTGTTTTGGAGACTGGTTTATGCTTAGAATATGTTGAGAAAAGGAGAACATGATTTCAGTGGATTAAGGCCAACTGTTGGCTCCTTGCCTCAATTTCAGTTGATGACTTGATGTGCATATGCTTTACAAACACCCTAAAATCAGGGAAAGGGGGTGTTTGGAACTGATTATGCTTCTGCTTCTTTTTTAAAGCAGAAACAGAATCAGAATCAGTTTTCAGAAGCTGGTACCCCCCAGCTTCTAAAAAAAACTGATTCTGGGAGTAAATTAGAGCATCAAAAGTGTTTTTGGAATTTCACCCAAACACTCCTGCTTCTGCTTCTGCTCCTTGAAGGAGCAGAATCAGTTTTGAGAATCAGATCCAAACACCCTCTTATAATTGCATGAAATGTCAAACCTTCTTTTGATTTAAAGTTTGTTTCTTCTACTAACTATGGGTTGGGGAGCACATTTCCTTCCAAAGTCGGTGCTCACCTTAACATTAACATTTAGGAATCTCTCCGTCTGTCTGTAAACCTCTAGATGACCTTGTTATTATCCTCACTATAAGATCGTCATTTACCAGCTTTTGCTTTGCAAAGACAAACGCATACCCAGTGAGAAAGCTCCTTCAGAGCAGGGTCAGGGAAAGGGCATATTCTAAGCCACCTTCTGTTCCTTATAATAAGTGGATTCAAACCCTGGACCCCCAGGATTTCGGGAACCCTTCCTTTTAAGATTAGTCATTTTTGAGGGGCTATTGATCTTGATCCTGCAGTTTCCTTATTTCTGGTCATACTAACTGTATTGAATTTTTTCACTCTCAAGCACATCCTATTGGGCCAAGGAAGCCTCCCTTACACAATGCACTATTTTGAATCGTCAAAAGAGGCATATTTGTTTACTTGATTTCTTCATTACAAATCTGCATTCCTATTTTTTTTAATTTGCATGTTATAATGCAGTGCTTACTGGTCTTCACTATTTTTTTTTTCTTTATTGTTGTTTAGTAGGTATCTGGCCAGAGAGGAATTTATGAATGGGTTTCAAGTGCTGTGAGAACTATCGGGCAGAACATTCATCACCAAAACATAGCTGAGGTTACAGGACATTTAACGTTTTAATTATGAAACATACCTGCTGATTATCTCCAATGCTGTTGGTAGTACATTTTTCTCCAAAATAATCATAGAATGTAGAAATTAATTAGTGGAAATATTCTTTTCTGAAGAGTGGTATGTAGATTCTCTTCTGGCATAGCTCATACTAAGATTTGGATACAGCATGGTCTGAAAAAGGATCTACAAACTCGTACTCCCTCCGTCCCGCTATGATTGTCCCATTTTACCTTTTCGGTCCGTCCCATCAAGATTGTCTCATACCTTATTTGGTAAAATTTGTGTGGTTCTAAATCATTCTTACTTTATTCTTACT